ACCATAGAGTAAAATGTCCTGGGCTTCAGAGTGCATCCTTATCCTGCCCCTTATAATGAGAGACCTTAAGAAACGTTTTTTATTGTTGTTGTTTTTAAGATTTTATTTATTTGAAAGAGAGAGAGTGTGCCCACACATGAGTGGGAGGGAGGGGGAGAGGCAGAGAATCTCAAGCAGAGTCTGCACTGAGTATAGAACCAGAAGTGGGGCTCAATCTCAAGACCCTGAAATCATAACCCTGAGATCATGACCCGAAATGAAACCAGGAGTCAGACACTCAACTGACTACCACCCAACCACTCCAACATTTCTTTCGTAAGGCTCAATTTTCCCATCTGAAAAATAATGGTGATTAAGAAGTAGGGACTGGAGTGTAGGTCATTGGAACCATAAACCTCAATCTGACCAGTGGAGTAGAAGTAGAAGCAGAAAACAGATCCAAAAGTGAGGATAGTATGTACCCAGTAAAACTCACACAGGATCATGTAGGCTTTGTTCTATTTGTATATAAAAATTTGGTAGAGCGTTATTCTTTTTAACGCAACTCTGGACCTAGAGTTGAAATGTTATATTAAAACTATATCTATGATGCATGCAATTATTTAATGATCTAAAGAGAAAAGCAGAGTTTATCAACTTTAATTGATTCTTCCTCTCAACTGTCACATTGATGAGCCTAACAGAAAGAAATAAACCTTGTTAAGTACTGTTTTTCTTTTTTTTTTTTTTTTTTGTAGAATAAATCTAAGGCCAGTTGAAATTCATGAACTAGAACAAATTTCACTAATAAAAAACAATATAAAATATTTTATCTAACAAATTCTTATATTAAAGAATAATCTAAGAGATTTGCTAAGAATGTTGTAAAACCCAAATAGCAACATGGCTATCTTTTTTTATCCAAGGTGTGACTAAACTTTTTGCTTATCTTGTGAATCAAATTGGATTTTTGTGTGTGTTTTCTAAATTGTTTTTCTTTTCAGCAATATGCTAAATGTATTTTTCTTACTTTCCAAGCTCGTTTGTTAGAGCGTTTGGTAGCTGGGCAGCACCCTCAGAATGAAAAGAGTGCTCTCAATTATAGAGCACCTACAGCAGGGCTGGCCCTGGGCTAACCCTTGTACATGTTGTCACTAATCCTACCGACAGTCTCACAATGTAACAGTATTTCTCTCTTCTTATAAATCACACCAAGAATCTTCAGAGAAGTTAAGGGACTCTCTAGGTCCCATCATTAGGTTCAACTCTTAAGGCTTATATTCTGCTTTCCACTGCATCTAATGCTATTTTCAGAGGCTTCGACAGTACGTTCTGAGGTATACTGATTATAGTGACAACAATGGCCATAACAATGCCAGTGAGAAATAAGTTCAAGTCCTCACTGTGGTAAGATCTCTGGAGTCCCACCCCCTCCTGTGTTCTTTCAGTTCCCAGCTGGGGTCCTGAGCACTCAAGCCCTGTCCCTGCCACAGTGGTCCACACTGAGACCCACCAGCTTCATATATATGACCAGGAGCTCCTTGCCTCTGTTCTCTTCCTCTTTGCTGTCATTTCTCCTCTTCCTGTAGCACTCAAAGTCACCACATGGAGGCTCATTCTTCACCAAGTCCAGGGACCACCACCCTCATAAGACCCTCTGTCTTTGGCTATTATTCTGAGCCCCACACTCAAGAGAGGGAACAGGGTCCCTGATCAGAAGCAAAACCTTTACTCACTTGTCCAAATGAAAAAGGAAGTGGTGGCTGTTGGCATCTAACCATGTTCACCATTAAAGTTGAGACAGTGTGAGAATCAATACCATGTGATTGTTTCTATGAAAAGTGGGTACCCTGCAATAGTGAATACTCAATGAATTATCGTTGAACATTGAAGAATGCACATAATGCAAGTATAGAAGAACAAGGCAGGGGAACCTGGGTGGCTTGGTCAGTGAACCATCCAACTCTTGATCTCAGCTTTGGTCTTGATCTCAAGGTTGTTAGTTCAAGTCCCAGCATGGAGCCTACTTAAAAAACAAACAAATAAACAAATGAACAAAATACAAGGTAGCCATGAAGACAGTAATAACTGAGCTCAAGTGTCCATTAGAAAGCAACTGTTAGTGTTTCCTTGCTTCATGATTTATGTCTCAACTTTATCAGTCTTATGAGTTTGAGGTTATTCACATACATTTTAAATAAGCATCATAATTTAGTGGCTAGATTTAATGTTAAGGTTAGGTGTTGTGAGTTAAATTTTATCACAGAGTCACATTTATTTAATGACAAATATTTATTGAGCTCGTGTTATGTGCCAAGGAGCAGAGCAGCTGAATAAAATCAAAGGCCCTTCTTTTCTGGGGCATATATGGGAACTCTGTGGGTGTCAGAGGGAACAGCAAATAAATAAGAAATCAAAATAATAGAAAATTCTAAGAAGAAAATGAAACAGAATTAAGGGATAGTAGTGATGGGTATGAAAAAGCTATTTCAGATGCATTAGTCAGAAGAGGTTTTCTTGTTAAAGTGATTTTTGAGGCAGGACCTGAGTAGCAGTGGGGAGCAGGTTTTGTGGAAGTAATAGCAAACACCAAGTCCCCAGAGTGGGCTTTGTGCTTAGCATGTTCTGTACCCTGTGATGGGGCAAGAGTGCATGGAAGATTTAAGAAAAAACAAAACAAACAAACAAACAAACAAACAGGTAGGAGGGGAAGAGAAGATGAGCTCAGAAACATAGCAAGGGAGCTAGATCATCTTGGGGCTGGGAAGTTGTTAACGGGTCATACCAAAGTGGTGATCCTGTCTGGGGTCTGAAAGGGCTTAGGAACATGTTTGCCACAGAGGGATGTTGTGACAGAAAGTATTGTGAGCTGGTGATAGGCAAGTCTGGTTCAGATTAGGTCTGAAAACTGCCTCAGGGGCTTAACCTTTGGTTTAGTTCAATCCCAGGGCTATTTGGGACTCTAATCTGAAGGATTTGAGGAAGTTTTCAAAGGAATTTTGCAACTCTTCTCAGAGGGTTGTGGGAAACAATTGCAGACTCAATGTCCTGCATATGTAACAATTTGGGCCATGAAGAATTTTACCCTAGACCCAGTAGCTTGTAACATACAGTGACATCATATGTGGTGCATGAGGTATAAGTTCACAGCCTGAAGGAAAGAATAAATATAAATATGAAGGTCAGGGTGCCTGGGTGGCTCAGTCATTAAGCGCCTGCCTTCAGCTCAGGTCATGATCCCAGGGTCCTGAGATGGAATCCCACATTGGGCTCCCTTCTCAATGGGGACCCTGCCTCTCCCTCTGCCTGCCACTCCCCCTGCTTGTGCTCTCTCTCTGTCAAATAAATAAAATTTAAAAAAAAAAAGAAAAGAAAATCTAGTTTAAATCTTGGTGTTATTAACTAGTGGTCATGGGAAGGTGAGCAATTCGTTCTAGTTCTCATAAATGATAACCATTGGACTAGATTCTCTTTAAGGTAATTAATTTTTGACTCTAGTATAATACTTCCATTTGGTAGCAAATAATTGCTTAGGCATTTGTTTTCAGGTTAATTGCAAACATATAGCAAGAATAGTTAAGAAACAGGCTTTATATCATCATTGATAATAACCAAAACATGGAAACTACCTAACTGTCCATCAGTGATGAATAGATAAAGAAGTAGTGGTGGGGATGTGTGTGTGTGTATGTATGTGTATATATATATATATATATATATATATATATATGTATATATATATATATATAAAATTTTTTAAAGATTTCATTTATTTATTTGAGAGAGAGAGAGGGAAAGAGAGAGCACAAGCAAGGGAAAGTGGGAAGGCAGGGAGACAGGCGTGGGGCTCGATCCCAGGACCCTAAGATCATGAACTGAGCTAAAGGCAGACGCTTAACCAACTGAGCCATTCAGCTGCCCCTATACAATAGAATATCATTCAGTCAGGAAAGGAATTTGTGACAACATGGATGGACCTTAAAAGCATTATGCTAAGTGAAATAAGTCAGACAGAGAAAGACAAATACTGTATGTACTATGTGATCTCACTTATATGTGGAATCTAACAACAAAACGAAACAAAGTAAAACAAAGAAACACAAGATGAGAAAACCTCCACCAAACTCTCAGAAAAAGAGATCAGATTTGTGGTTACCAGAGCAGGTGGGGGAAGTGCCAACTGGAGGAAGGTGGTCAAAAGGTACAAAATGCAGTTATAAGGTAAGTAAGGACTAGAGATGCCATGTACAGTATGATGACTAGAGCTAACACTGCTGTAGGATGTATGGGAAAGTTGTTAAGAGAGTAGCTCATAAGAGTTCTCACCACAAGGAGAAATGTTTCTTTCTTTTTTTTTATTGTATCTATATGAGAAGATGGATATTAGCTGACCCTATCGTGGTAATCATTTCACAATATATGTAAATCAAACCATCATACTTTAACTTATACAGTAATCTATGACAATTATTGCTCAACATAACTGGAAGGAAAAATAAAATAGTAAAAAAGTAAAAAAAAAAAATAAAACACACATGCACAGGCACATGCACACACAGAGGCTATAGAATCCTATAGATCTGAGTTTTCTCTTGGCCCTGCCAGCGTTTGACTTTGCATAAATTTGTAAGTCGGTTAATTTCCTAAATCCAAGTTTGCTTAACTGTAAAATGCGGTGATGGGTGATACCTCAATGGACTCTTGTGCCACTGAATAAGAAACTGCAGGTCACCTGGTTCACTGTGAGTGCTCCGTTCTGGTCATTGTTATCAGACTGTGAAAATGCCTAAACTTGTCTGCATCTTACTTTATTATTTTGTATAAATGTGCAAGAAAGTGAAAATTAAACTCCCGTGTTCCTTGAAGTGCTCTAATGGCATGGACTAATACAAAATGAGGTCAGAGATTGGGAGATTCTAGAAAGGTACTGTATACCTCCATGCCATTGAAAACTCATTGTACCCTTAAATAATTTTTAATTGGCTTTATAAAATGTGCCTTTCCCGTTCCCCCCTGCGCAGATGTGAAAGCATGGAATTGGACAATAAAATCCGAGATCTGATCGAGAGGAATGCTTCTCCCGATCTTAAAGGGGTGACCCTGGGAGCCACACCAAGTCACAGAAATTCATGTTCTCTAAAGGTAAGAAACCACCTTTTTTTTCTACGTTTTCTCAAAACACCCTTCAACAATGTGTTCACCCAGAAGAATTTATGGGGACAGTCCCCAAATCATTTACAGTAATGTACTTCCTTGATGACTGAGAGGATAAAGTCAACCACTATAAAACCTCTTTTACACAGTCACTTCCTGTTACTGAGGAAACCCTTCAGCAGAAACACTTTCCCATTTAAAGTGTGATGCCAGGCAGGCAAGTGTTGCTACAGGGAAGTGAGGACAAGCTCAGGCTATAAAAAAAGAATGTCAAATACAGCAACATCTCTTTTTTGGGGAGTAAGTCACCCAATTTGTGTAAACATTCTTACATTGGATTACTAAAATCAGTACAATTCATTGTCTTTTTTTAACATTTAAAAAAATTTTAAAGATTTTATTTATTTGAAAGAGAGAGAGAGAGAGAGCCCAAGTAGGCGGAGTGAAAGAGGGAGAAGGAGAAGCAGACTCTCCACTGAGCAGGGAATCCAACGCAGGGCTCCATCCCAGGACCCTGGGATCATAACCTGAACTGAAGGCAGACACTTGACTGACTGAGCCACCCACGCACTCTACATTGTCTGCTTTTTAAAAGAAAAAACAGGCTTTCCAAATAAAAGGAGTTGTCCAACTATGAATTTCTTCTTGTTTCAGGATACTTTTCTACGGTGCTTCATAGAAGCAAATAAAATTCAAGGGTAAGGTCAGGCTAGGAATCTTGAAGATGACTTTATTGAAATGCATCATAAATGACCACACGAACTCAAGCTCTGTAGTCCTCCTGATTAGAAACAATTTCTAATGATCTTTTCAACTGTAAAAATCATACAGAGATTTTTATAGCTTGGATCTCATAGACAAATATTTAATTAATGCACCTAAGTTGCTTTCATACACTTATATCTTTTTCTCTTAAAGGAGACCCTGGAATTAAATAAGGTTTAAACTCCAGACCTCAGTGAAATCTCTTGGCCCACCACTCCCAGAGAATATCTCTTAGCATTTGGGATCTCTCTGTGTCTCTCTTTTTCACACACACACACAGACCTACCCAGTTCGTTGAACCTACCTGTTTTCACTTTAAGAATATGCTGCAGATACCCCTCTACCTCTTTTTTCATTCATTTAATAAACATAGAATTGTGTGTGTCTGGCATCTACATACTTTCTCCTGTTTAGAAACTCACTTGTCCCTGACGAAACAGTATCTTTTTTTTTTTTTCAAGATTTACTTATTTATTTTAGAGAGAGAAAGAGAGAATGCGCAAGTGAGGGAGAGGCTCAGAGCGAAAGAGAAAATCTCAAGCAGACTCCTCACTAAGCATGAAACTGGGCTGTGGGGCTCAATTTCACAATCCCGAGATCATGACCTGAGCCAAAATCAAGAGTCAGACGCTTAACCCACTGAACCACCGAGGCACCCCAAGTAGTACCTATTTTTAAAGTAAGAAATGAAGGTCTGTGGATGGTTAGAGCCATGGAAGGCTTATTTCTCCCCTTCTCATCTCACCTCTTCCTTTGAACCCTCATACATACCATCTCTAATTCCCAGTTAGGATTTTCCTCCTTCATGGAAATGTATGCTTTTCTCAAATAGCTTTCTTGTCTACTTTATGACAAGAGTTTGAATCCCCTCCAGTACCCTGATCCTCATATGTTTTGATTATCAGCCCCTGAGACCCATTTGCTCATGACTGACTTCCTCCCAACTCTGTTCACTTTGTCCTCTGGATTTCTCCTCATATGGTAAAGACCTCTTCTACATACTCATCGTCATCCTCTTGGTAATTAGTTCCCCCTCTTTGGGGGACTTACCCAAAACTTGTTATCTTTCTTTAACATACTGCTTCTCCCATCACTTCCCTGAATGAAATTTGCTCATTTTCCTACACACCATACATCTAGGCAAAGGGCTGCAGATTCCAAGCTGATCGTTTGCTTTGCTGTGTTTTTTTTTGTTTTTTTGTTTTTTGTTTTTCCTTGAGAAGTATGAGATCTGGAGAGAAACATCTGGAGAAAGTGAGAAGGTGAGAGATGAGATCTAGTATTTAAGGAATTTGCAGAAGGTATGGCATGAACAGTGGGAGGTGAAAGAGAGGAATAAAATTGCAATGAGGTGCTGAATAGCTGTGAGGACAGAGCTGAACTTATCCTGTCACCACTCGGTGACAGGACAAATCCCTCCATGGCATTTGGGCTCCTGTATCTTCAGTAACCCCATCACCTCTCACCAGCTTAAAATATGCTTAGCACTCCTCCACTTTTAAACATGTGTGAGATCCCATATTATTTTATGGATAATGTTCTAACTTATTCTTGCGCATCATATCCAAGCTTATTGATCGGGACATTCAAAGCTTTTCAGCCCCTTATCACATCACTAATAAGCTCTGCCTTGAAAAACCCAATGGTCATTTTGCATCTGATTTTTCACTTGTTCTCTCATGCATTTGATGCTATTTCCTAATTCAACCTTTTAAAAATGTCTTTCTCCATCAACAGCTATAAAATCAATCTCTCATTATCCCTCCCTCCCCATACATACAACTTTTTTTCTCCAATCTTTCCTCTTCGTTCACCTTCACTGGCTTCACTTATATAATGTGCCTGTGTCGTATTAGTGTTACCCAGGGATCTATACGTAGTCCTTTGTTCATTAAACTACAAAATATATGCCAGTGACTCCACACGCATATAGCTTCCTAAACTTGGAGTTCTTTTCTTCATGCACATCAATTTCACTCAGTAGTTGCAAAATGAATTCAACATCTTTCCTGTTAAAACTGCTTGCTTCTTCCTCTCTACATTTCCTGCACTAATGAATGGATCATTTTTTTAATCCAGTTATCCAAACTCGGGTATAATCCAGGGTTACCAAGCTGTCCAAACCCAGGAGGCATTCATAGAATAATGCCAGTCTTCACCCTGGACCCTCAAGGTAAAAGCCTTGGTACAATCTTTGGACTTCATTTTTTTCCCTTCACCCTTCCTACTGTGCCATGGTTTGGATATTCATTATCTCTTGCCTAGACTATCCCCAGGAGATGCCTAGTCACCCTTCTTAAGTTTTATTCCACATTAATTCATATTTACCAATATGGATCTTGCTAATGTGCAAGTCCTTAGAACTTAAAAGTAGATCTTACCTACATCATAAAGTCCAAATGCCGTGGCTTAATACATAAAATCCTCCAGGATCTAGTCCCTACTTATATTTAGAACAAACCAATAGGGAGAGAATCTAGTATTTGTAGGTCAACTACCATGATAGGCATGGAGGTATTTTATATTATGTTTGAGATCTACAACAACACTTAAATAAGGCTATCTTTACCCTCATTTTCCAGATTCCCTTTTTGTGGCTCCATGGTGTGAGGTAGGAGCTTCAGAGTAGGTTCTGGGAGTGGGGAAATTCTTTCTTGTGGCTTTTGCCCCACTTTTATCTTCTCAAACCGTGATTCAGACCCAGAAGGGAACATACCTCTCCCATTTCATGAAGGGGAAACTGAGGCATTAAGGGAACAGACTTTTGGACATGGTTCTTGAAGCTTCCATCTAAGCCATTTCAGGGTCCCAGTGCTCCTGTCACCTTCTTGTCATCCTCTGGCCTAAGACAGGGTCAGAATATGTGAACCTCCCCCAATAAAATATTTGACAAAGAAAAAAACAAACAAACAACAACAACAACAACAACAACAACAACAAACCCTGTGCTTTCACTCTCTCTTTGAGAAAAGTTTCCCAAGAACAACCCTTGGGAGTCTCTCTGCATCCCAACAGACTTCAAACACATCTTCTTCAGTCGTCGTCTGAAGGTATCATCAAGAATTTCATTGCTTGAGTGAACAGTTTAGTTTCCAGTGAACAGTTTAGTTTCCAGTTGGAATCTCAGCTGAATTACTATTTATCCAATAGCACTCTACAGGAGGGAATCCTACATTCAAAACAAAACAAAAACTTTCGCATTCTCACTGAGATATCTATAGGACTGAAAGAAGTATATGAAAATTTATTTTTGGTGTAAGACAAGGATTAGCCAGTGACAGTGAGACTATGGAGGGTGTCTCTCATTTTCCACTGAATGAAGTAACCATAAGATCAGTACAGTAGACTCCCTTTCCAGGAGCAGAAAATAAATTTCTTTATAACTTAAGAGATAGGAAAAAGTGTAGCTGAATGAAAGAAATATTATTTAATGAAAGGCCCCAAGACATATGTCAAGTTCCCCTTTTCGCTCAAGAAAATGAACAGACTGACTCATTGCTGTGAGGAAACAGATACATTATTGATGAACATGAGGAACTCCAGAAGTATAAGAGCATTCTTTAATATTTGGGAGAGTTGAAATAGACAGTTGGCGAGCAAAGAGCATTGAATGTCTTGTAGGCAAAAGAAAAATAATTGCCTAAGTGACGGGTGTCTGAGTGGCTCAGACTCTTGGTATCAGCTCAGGTCATCATCTCATGGGTCATCATCTCATGGGACATGATTTCCTGGATCATGAGATCAAGCCCCAAGTGGGGCTCCATGCTCAGCGGAGAGTCTGCTTAAGATTCTGTCCCTCCCCCAACTAACATGCATGCATGCACTGTCTCTCTGTCTCTCTCAATCAAATAAATAAATAAATATTTAAAACAATATGGTCTAAGTGAGAATAATATCCATATTCCAAAATGAATGTTAAAAATAGAAGTGACACTAAACCAAGACATGGTCCTAATACTATAAGAAAATTAATGTATGAACATTCTTTTGTGACCCTGTAATTGTCAGTCTTAAAATACAATGGAAAGGGGGAGGAGAATTGAAATGTATTTGTCCAAAAAATATAGAAATAAATTCTTGGAATTTATTGTAACTCTTGGAAATAAAGATACAATTTGGGAGTAAGAAGAAAAGCTATCCAAATTTTAAAAAGATCCACTAGAATTGAATTTGTTTAAGAAGTTTGTCTTGTCTTTGGATTTGTCTTCCTTTTCCTCTTTTTT